TTTCGCGCCATCTCTGCTATGAGTCCGGAAATGAGCGAAACTATTGGCGTGCCCTTCACCTGCTCGTAGATAGTTCCGGCTCGTAAATAGAATCAGATGGCCGAACATGCAGTGGCGGTGAGAAAGAAAAAAGCCAACTCCCAGGTTGCAGCTCACTCGATGGGACCCGGCAAAATTTTCAAGTTTAACGAGGCCAAAATCCTCGCAAGATGTGACAACCGCGTGAGCCGCTAGCTGTTGGAGTTATGGTTCTCAGGCACCCAGTCCATAAACAAGCGCAACGATTTGGCGTTCCCATACGGTGTACTGAGAAGTTCCCTGAGCAAGAGAATCAGTCACATGGGAAGTGCTAAACGCAGCAACAACTCTGACTATAATGAGCATAATTGTCACGCAATTATCAGGCCCGCATCCGACGCTGACAAGGTAATTGTGGCAATTAGTGAATCGAACGCGAAGTTCCAAGCAAGTACCGCGTAAATTAAGACCCAAGCGGTGGCTACAGAAGTGAAAAATTATCACACACGCGCAGATGACCACTATGAACTGTAAATACCGTGCAACCTGTGCATGTCTCCACCCCATCTGCGCATGACCATGACTATGTTATCATCATTTATGATTAAGGTTTCCAGAGGGAATCCGAAACGTCAGGCAAATAAAACTCTTGTTCCAGTGAATGCATCATCTTCTTCTGCGTTTTTAATTGCTGCCCTCTGAAAATTATAAAAGGGGCCTCCAGAAGCCGACGAACATCATGCACCAGATCAGACGTGCTTTCATAGTTTTTGCTCCCGAACAGTTTGTGCAGATCTTAAATTCTTTTGTTAGACAGCATTTGGAATTCGGACGGTCAGCACAGATGCCGGGGATGAAGAAAGACAGTGATCCTATCGAGCAGGTGCAGTGACTTGCAGCAAAACTAGTGGACGGTCTTAGGACTCTGTCTTATCCTGTAAGAATGATCAAGCTTAATTTTTTTTACCTATACTGCAGACCTCAACATTCCGTATTATTCACGGACATGTATGTTCGCTGAAATTTGAAGATTTATTTGAGTTTACAAACAGGAGTCACCTGCACGTCCATCCGTTAAAAGTCAAACGTGAATATACACGTCCAGATCCACATACATTTACCTTCAGCCTTTACCCTTCCAGAGATCCGAAGTAAACTGAGTTAGCTACTTTATTATTTTTCCGACAGCGAGTGTCTGAGAATGGAATTGGAAAATGGAGGCGTTGCCCATAGTGTGCATGCCGAAAGCAACGTCTGCCGGCATTCCTATGTTGGTCGTTATGAAATGCGGACAATATGTGATGCAATATCAACTTATTGAGCCGATGCCTAAATTCGGATGCAGATCGAAGACCGAAATAAAAAAATATCAGAAGACGAGCAAATTACAACTTAATGATATTGCCAATGGGAAAGTACCAAAAAACTACGTAGTCGTTCGACCCCGTGAAGAAGAGAACTTATCGAAGAGTTACCTTTCCAGTACTCGCCCAAAACTGGGCAGGGTGACAATGGGGGGATGCGGGGGCGACGACGGGGGATGGTTAAGGTATATGTATTATTCCGCAACCAGAAATTTCCAGAATGCTGTAGACGGACCTAAAAGGCAGTCTAACAAATTTTTGACTATATTTGAACGTATAGTGCGTTTTAGGTGACATTCGATATTATTTTTTAAGGGTTATTTGATAATATGTATACCCTTCCCGGAATTTCGACGGGAAGATCGAGGGACTGGAAGGGAATGAGGACGGGGTTTTCAACCCGCATATTCCCGTCTTCACCCCCGTCGTCATCCCCGGATCACCCCCTATCTTCCCGGAATTTCGACGGGGGGACGCGGGGATTTGTCTGGCAGGGTAGTGATAAACTTTAAGAGTACAAGATTAGACAAATATTTGCTTGTACATATTAATCTATTTATCTTTTAACGAGGATTCTTGCAAAGCCTGATAGGATGTCTCTTCAACATTATTTCACGGAATATTTTTATCTCAAATGCAGACCCAATGCTAAATTGCTTAAAAACGAGTGTACATATGATAGAGGTTGTGTCAGAGGTCATATTTTGCCATATTTCTATAAATAGGTCTTTAAAAAGCTCCGTCTTCCCCCTTATACATGCTGAATATACTGAATCAAGGTATTTTACCTCCATGATCTACGAGTAGGATATAGACATGGCCTTCAAGCGATATGACTGCTTGTAAATCCACTGCTACACAAAATTATGTGCATAGCTTCGCTAAATTTTATACAGAATCATTAAAAACCTGTTCATAATTATTTACTTCAGTAGGTGAAAACGGGTATTTGAAAACCCTAATACCAACAATTGAACTTGACCTTTTTGTTCGTATAGCCATTTGGTGTTTTCGAGCCGCAGCCTCACCTTTTTTTTCAAAATTTGCTCTGAGAATGGAGAGTGCACTCCAGCCAATAATTGAGGAGTACAAGGTGGATGCTTTTGATGCTCTCCACTTCAAGCTTAGTAAGTTTTTCGGACTATTTTTTGCAAATGTTTGTTTTTTTTATTTACTACTTGTCTTGATGCAGTACGGTTATAAAGCCCATTGTTCATGTTTAGAGGCCCATTTTCATTTGTTTTTCTAATTATCTTGGAAGAACGAGCCTTTATGCTCTTCTTTTTTCTTATTGTGCCATTTATATACATTTTGCCCATTTATGCCAGTCAGTACCCATATATAAACGCCCGTTAAACGATTTAATAGTTCGAGAAAAAAGCGACCTCGAGGCCGGCGAGTCATTCAATCCGGAGATGACGCATCAGATCTTTGGAGAAAGGTATACATATCTGTCTGATTTACTCAGCTGTATTCAGCGAGAAAATATTCGGCTATAAAGACTTGAGTGTGACTATCGCTGTAATGGCCGGATCTCTTTCTACGTACGTCGATATCAAGTATTCCGAAAAAATTTCTCCCAACTTGTCGAAAGGAGTAGAGGTATATCTGTTAACTTTCTCACTTTGCCTACCATCCAGCCAGATGATATTGTAAAAGAAATGAGCAAAATTTACGATGAAAAATTAATTACATCAGAAGCCGGCTTCTGGGAAACCTTTGGAGAGGAGTTGAGCTTTAGGCCTTTCGGAACTTTGAAATCGGGTTATACCCTCAATAAAGGTACTCCAAAACTCACTTCTTTATTTTAATCTGTATTTTATAGGAGGACACGCTCATGAGTTTGTAATCTACCATGTAGATCAAACTGCAGACAACTTCGATGAGTTCACTAAGTACCATAAGCGGATGGAACCATTTTTAATGTATTTTATCGATGGTTCCAGCTTTATTACATTGGACGAAAACTGGAGTTTTTACATTTTGTACGTCCTGCTATTCCTCCATGGGCTTATTTGTCCTTACAGATATGAAAAATTCACATCTCATAGTTCTCCAGAAAAACGCTATGCCCTAGTTGGATTTCTGACCATGTATGCATTCTACGCCTTTCCGGAACACGTACGACCTCGTGTCAGTCAGGTGCTCATTCTTCCCCCGTTCAGGGGAATGGGCCACGCCACTCGCCTTTTGGAGGTTGTTTATGATGACTTCGTGCCCCTCCCCAAGGTTATCGACATCACAGGTTAGTCGTAGCTTCATCTTCCTCCTGCTTTACTTCTGTTCACTTTCAAGTTGAAACAGATTGCCTGTGGGTCAGTATTATTTTCATGTTCAGACGTTATTAATCAACCCGTCTTTGGTTGGTTTTCAGTGAACTTTAAAAAGTCCATTTGAAGACAGTAGTTGTTTGCTTTCACGCTATTTTTTAGTGGAGGAACCTTCGCCAGACTTTCAGCGCCTTCGAGACTTTCTGGATTGCAAGCGTTGTCTTCAGTTAAATGAATGCCTTCAGCAAATCAAGTCGGCGATAACATCTTCAAATGCCCCAGCCACAAACGGTCGCAGTGTCGGTGCCGATGGAGACGCAAACAGTTGCCCCAAAAGACGCCGCACCTCGGCCGTGGTCCCTGCCGTTTCCGTTAATCCTGCTGCACCTTTTGTTTGTGTGGCCAAAGAGAAGTTGAAGCTCTGCAAGAAACAGGCTTATCGTGTTTATGATATCCTTCGACTCTTTCTCCTGCCCCGCAACAATCCGGATGCGGAAGCAAAATACAAAAATGCGCTAAAAGAGCGCACCAAGATAATTTACCGCGTAAGTTTGCTGATTCATCCTCATTTTGCCACGAATTCCGTGGTCTAAGGGCTTGCCAAAAGGCATTGGCATCTACAACCCCTAGGACTTGTATTCTTCTGTCTCGTACAGCGAGTTCATGTACGTCTCCGCGCGCAAGCCCATTAAAGAACATGTTACATTCGACATAGGTATCGGGAATTTAGGGATTTTCGCCTGTTCAGATGTTAATCCTTTGAATTAACGCTCATTTCATAATGTGGACAAAAGTGAGCGTTCGGGTGGGAGGAAATCAAAATAATGATAACGCGAAATCACGTTAAAACGTGTGGCTTCCCACATATACAGATATGAATATTGTGTAAACCTTTATCTGTGAGTATTCTATGACCTTTTACCATGCCCCCTTACCTTACCTTAACCCTTGCTCTCCGTGAATGGAACCATTTTTGCTGAAAATCTTGGATATTGCCTTCAACATAAAGCATTTTCTCTCATACGTACATAAACTTCCTATATTTGAGTTGTTTAGCATCCTCCTTTAGCGTTTTAGTGTGTTTCACTTCTTACATGAAATTGACTTTATCGCTGCATTTGGTTTATTAACTGTCTCACGACTGATCAGCTTAAGTTGTACCCGGTCGCTGACAAAGTTCCGAGATGAGTTAGTTAAGTTTCCGCGCTAGCTCGGTCTGTTAGAAGTGCGTGCGTGGTCATTTTTGCCGTTTACATGCATTTCTGCAGTCAACCTTCTTGAAATGTTCGGAAGTTAACGTTGGGTTCAGATGATCTCGAATTCTAGTTGTAATAGAGCATGGCCGAGCTATCTGGGCCGACAAACGTGAAGAACGTAGTTGACTTGTGATGTCCCTTACTGATGTCATGGCGCTTAATAAGAGAGGCGTTTGGATTGGAGAGGTTTTTACCCCACGGAGCACATGAACCATGTCTTGACTGAAATTGCGTATTTTTCACATAGGCTTTTTGATGAGTTCAGGTGTTTTGATGGAGTCTCACGAAGTTCATGCGCTCCTGGTTGATATAATGCTTAAGTCTGTAAACGAATGAACTTGCATTTCGCCGATGGATACTCTGAACTGTTTTGGTTCTCTTCGCTTGCGTCGGACAGCGGGTATTTGTGCTCGTGAACCCGAAAGCAACCACCTTCCTTTAGAAAAGCTTGTTTTCGGTCTCAGTTAAGCCGCCTCGACACTTATCCACAATGCATTGCAATCCTGTAAAATATTTCTTCAGTACTGCAACATCTCCAATTTAATCATACTCTGTAACGCATAAAACTTTAATTCGTGTGGGTCTAATACTGTCTACTGATGCGTTTTAAGAAACCTAGCCCAGAAGGTACTCAGAAATTATTTGCGAAAAGATGTAGCTTTGTCGGGTCATAGGGGCAACAAAAATCACCCTCCGCAACATTGAAAGTGCTCTCGTTCCTTGATCTTCAGTGGAGGATTAAACATTCATGGCAGTTTCATTGCCATACCATCGCGCCGCGTGATCAGCCATACGAAATTGCTATGGACAGATAAATGTAGCCTCATAGTTTAGTAGGCAAACCGGAGTGGCCCGCTTCCTATTCGAGGCCACGAAGGAAAAATGGGTTTCAACCACAGAAGTTCACTTCGGTCATTGATGAGCTCAAGGTCAGGTGACCGCCACTTTTTGATGATGATAATGATGACGATGTTCGAAAACTTAGTGCAACAAACGAATGGTTCCGGCGCTTAGTTAGTTTTCTTGAATGTTAACCTGGAATTCGATTGTTTGTCTTTATTCGTATCTTTTGTGCCTGTATTCGTAAACACAGTCGACATCTGTCAGGTAAGATGACTATAAACTCGCTGGACACAACCGAAAAGACTGATAAAAGGATAGTTCTTGCACAATAATCTGTCTTATTTCTTGAAATTCCAGAAACGATGTCGTTTTGGGCTGTGGCTATTTCCTCTGTTCCCTAAATGTTATTCCGCAGCCAATGTAGTCTGTTAGCTAACAATGTCGACGAGTATTAGTATTCCTGCTAGAACGTAGACCTCCGTATGTCCTCTCTTTTTATTTACTTGGCTATCTCATCGAAAATATCAAAGGTTGAAAGTTGAGAGTGGTTGGGGGACCCCGCCTTCCTGAGAAAAGATCAACAAATTAGGAGATGGGCTCTGTTAAAGCCGATTGTCACCATTGGTCCCTTGCGTCTTCCAGAAACCTTTTTTTGCCGCAAGTCAGTCATGTACTGTGTCTCAGGCAGGAGGATTGTCAGACTGTCTCTTTTTCTTTTCCGTTTCAGTTTCCCAGCATTACGAGTACGTGCACGTTGTGCCACCACGTCCGACTCTGTATCATTCCCAGCTGGTGGGGTAGTTTGAATTAAAATCCAGTAACGCCTACTGTAGCCCAACGTAATACAGGAGATTCGCTAATGATTTATTTTCCGTTTGGCGTCTTTTTCGACGGCAGATATAAAATGATTTGAATTATCCCGATAAAAGCAGTATCTTAAGAACGGCAGACGTCTTATTTCTTCATATTTCCCGTGGTCTGGGCCACGGTTGCGTTCTTATCGTTGCTGTTTCGAAGTACTACCCATTCTGCATGGTTCTACTACAGATTCCGCTCAGCATTGTGGCACAGTTACTTAATTGTTAGCTTTCGCTGTAAGTCGTCACACCACTGAAGCCGGTTAGCTTAAATTTAAGCCGCCAATAAAGTTATCGTTGTCGGGCCCTCGAAATTACCATCAGTATCACAGTAAACACTGTCAAAAGTCTTGCTCATAGTAACTAAGATTTAGCCTGAGCCTTCTTTTTGCACTGTAATAGATGCAAGCCAAAAGTTGAGTTGTCAATAGAAATGAATATGCGAGTTCCAGGAAGCAGTTCGGAAGAAAAAAGATGCGACCACTGGAAAAAGAGTTTTATTTTCCTGACGTTTCAGATTCTGTCGAGAATCCTTAATCATAGGTAATCGTAGAAAAGTCTGAGACATACGTGGACTTCATCCGAGAAGATTTCTCTATGATTAATTCCACGTACTTCAATCCCATTGAAGTCATCTTCACTGGAAGATGAATCCTGCATCCTTTTTCTACGAAACTTCCTTCACCGATTTAAATACAGCTTGCGCGATGATGAGGAGTTGTAAGCGCGTTCGAATACATGACGGCGCATGTCTCAGACTTTTCTACGGTTACCTATGATTAAGGATTCTCGACAGAATCCGAAACGTCAGGA